CTCTCTCTCTCTCTCTCTCTCTCTCTCTCTCTCTCCCTCCCTCTCCACGGTTTGGTCATGGACAGAAGCCTTTACAGAAGGGAGCAGCTTGCCGAGGGCTTCTCTGCCCTTGTCACACCCAGTTTACACAGTCGCTGGCTTTCATGAGGACAGAGGCTGCTCATGGGCAGCCTGAAGTTTGGAGCTGTGAAACTGGGTCTTTCCACTCCACACCAGGTCACTCACTAACCCTAGCCTTCCTGTCTCAGGGAGATAGCACTAGTGGCTAGGACCATGCAGTGTACCCAGTAGGAGTGCACTGCTCTTTTTTGCATTTCTTATCATTGCTCTGCGAGGTAGCCAGCCGTCTCCATTTTAATACGTGAAAAACTCAGGTCCAGCAGGGATCCTGAGCTACCAGGCAGAGGTTCTGCTGCCAGGGAGCCACAGGTCCAAGGATACAACCACTTAGACCACCACCCAAGCCTTCCCCTTAGAGAAATAAAAGCCTTGCTGCTTTATAAGGACATCCTTGTGTACAGCTTTTGTTTTGCTGGGATACCTGAGAAAATTAGGAAGACGTTGTCCACAAATGAAGAAGAAGTTTCCCAGCAGTGACCAGTCTGCTGTGCTGGGGTGGTTTCAGAGCCTTTGAAACACTAGCAGAGAAGCAGGCCGTTTTTCCTGCCACAGCTGCCTTTGCCAGCTCCTCCTTTGGGGTCTCATGGCCCAGTGGAAATAGCAGCAAGTCCCACAAAAGCCTCCATGCTGGCTCTTTGCGTCCTCTCACTGTCCCAGTATTGTCTCATTGTCCAGGGACCATGGTCACGAGGGCCCTGGTGCTGCAGCGAGAGCTCTGGGCTTTGTTTCCTGTGGATGAGAACAGGCTGGCACAGGGCCATGGCCGGTCTGCTCATCTGAGCTGAATGCCCTGGTGTATATAAGGGTTAGGCTATGCCCACCATGAGGCCAAGCTCTCTGCAAGGCCTTGGAAGCATTCAAGGGGGAGTGTGAAGAACTGGCTACACATAGTTTGTGAGGCTCAGTGTAAAATGAAGATGGGGGGTTGTGTTAAAAAATTATGAAGACTTTCAAGAACCTGAGAGGAAGCTCAGGCCCTGTTGAACAGGCTTCCCTGGTGTATAGTTAGAAACCTGGCCCTGGAGCTGGGCACCAGAGGCTCATGCCTGAAATCCTAGCTACTCAGGAGACTGAGACGTGACGATTGAGGTTCAAATCCAGCCTACCCAGGAAAGTCTGTGAGATTCTTACCTCCAATTAATCACAGAAAAATCCAGAAATGATGCTGTGGTTCCGGTGGTAGAGCACTAGCCTTGAGCAAAAGAAGCTCAGGGACACTGACTAGCCCTGAGTTCAAGCCCCAGGACTAGCACACAAAAAAGAGGGCTTGTCCTGGATTCCCTTTATGCTGAAAGAAGGGCACGTCCACTCCCTCCAGCTGTTGGAGGAAGAAGGTTGTAGAAAGTAAACTCCAAAGAGTTTACCAGCTGTGTTACTGGTATGTATGCACGTCTGTCCCCACACTGCCTTTCAGAACTTACCAGTGACTGTGTTGAAATCCACTCTTGTCTGGAAAATGCTCATGTGGCCAGATATCACGATTGTCTACAGTGTGAGGATGAGGCGGCCAAGCCAGTGAGCAAAGTACACATGCAAATGAATCTACCTTGCACAGGATGACTGGTGTCAAGCTGCAGGAGCCCCAAGGAAGAGCCTGGCATCCTGGAGGAATGCTGCTTTGAGCTGAGGCATAGAAGAAAGGGTGAGGAAGGGAGAGTCTGCCCGTTGATGGGCAGAGCTGCAGGGCCAGTCTGCTAGGTGTGAAGCGTGTTGCCCTCTGCAGGTAAATGAAAAGCAGCTGAGGATGATGGCCGAGCAGCTAAGAAGGACTGTTGGGGACAGAGAGAGGCTAGCTTGGGCCACTCTGGTAAAACTCATATGCCAAGATAAGGGATGTAACCAGTCTGGTGGACGGGTTCCATCCTGGATGCCATGAATTAGGAGGGCTGAGAATAAGTCAGAGAATGGTAAGGGTCAACCGGAGTACAGATCCCTAGGGAAGGGCCAAGGGAAGGAAGGGTTCAGCTGTCAGAGGATGCCTCCAGATTTGGCCTGGGGACAGAGGCCAGGACATAGTTCATGGAGGAGGACAGCTGGGTTACGTGGATCTCACTTCCTTATCATCATAGCTACCTGCTGAGGTGATAGAGGAAACAGGCAGCATCTGACAGGCACATCCACCATAAGCAGTGGTTCGGTGCCCGCCCTGTGTTCTCTAGATTAAGATCTATCCAGCAAGAAGTGGGAGAGGTGGAGGGTAAATGGCAAGGATATCCTCAAAGAGAAATCTTCCATGGACAAAATCCAGGAACTCCAATTCCAGTTAGGTCCTCTTCTTCAGCGTTTTGGATATTACTCAAATTTCCTCCTCTGCTCCAACACCAACATGGCTGGCTGAGTGTACCCAGCCTCTGGGAGTCAGTATTCCTATTAACTGGCTTTGACAAATCAGTATGCCAGGGAGTAGCTGGGTAGCCTGCGCTAATGCCCAGTACAAAGGGCCCAGTGAGCCCTTCCCACGGCACCTCCCCGTATCCTTCCTGCTCTTCTGTGTACTCGGTGCCTACCCCGCAGCTTTGTTTCATTGAGATCTGAGCAAACTTGGCATCTTTGTAGGCCTGAGGTTGGTAGCTTTGGTGGAGGCTGGGCAGCCCTTTTGAACAGCAAACCCCCTGGGGAGGGCCAGAGCATCCCAGAGAGGTTCAGTGGTGAGTCCGGGTAGGATGGCAACTGCACCTGTGACCTTCCTGTGGAAGCTTGGAGTTTGGGACTGGGGGGTGTCCAGGAACCAGGGGTCCTGAGTATCCCTGTTGTGCTGGAGTCCTCAGTCACTGGGGACAGAAGCAACGAAGCTGTATTCAAATCCAGTGGCCTCTCAGCCTCTCTGGATTATTCCCTAATCCAGAAGGGAATGCAGCTGTGAAAGGTGCTTGCTTTGCTGTTCCTGTGTCTAGCAGGAGCTGAGACCCAGTGGCTAAAAACAGCCTTGCTCTGGTTATCAGACAGCTGTTAGGAGGTCAGGCTGTGTGAGGCCAGACAGATAGCTCTTTAATTGGACCACAGCCTTGGGTGAGGAGGCCCCTGGGACCAACTTGGAAGCCAGGCTGACATTGGGAAGTTTCCACTTCCCGGGTGATGCCAATACCAGCTTCAGAAGCTCTGAGCATTTCTACTTTGTCCAGCAAATACAACAGGTTGGCAAACCTCAAGAGATGCAGCTCTCCTTATTTTCTCCCTTGATGCAGGCCAGTTTGTGGTTTGTCTGGGGATGGCACTCACGCATGGACACTCCCCACAGTCTCTCAAGATTTTAATGCCTCTGGCTCTTGATCCAGCTCATTCCTCTGTAGATTATTGCATCTCTGACCTGCCGATGCCTGTGTGGGGAAGAAGCTCTTTATTGAGCAAGTCCATCAAGTCGTAGCTCTAGGAAGTAGCAGCCTGAAGCAAGTCACTGTTCTGCACTGGACCTAGATGGGGGTGGTGGGAGATGATGTCAGCCTTTGAGGAGAGGCTCTGTTCCCCTCTGCATTTTTTTGGATTGTTGTTGTGGTTCCCCCTCCCCTTTTTTGGCTTCTTTCTTTTTCTTTTTTTTTTTTTTTTGGGTCCGGTCGTGGGGTCTGAACTCTGGGCCTGGGCGCTGTCCCTCAGCTCTTCAGCTCAAGGCTAGATCTCTACCACTTGAGCCACAGTGCCACTTCCTGCTTTTTTCTTTTTGCTTATGTGGTGCTAAGGAATCAAACCCAGGGCTTCATGCATGCAAGGCAAGCGCTCTACCACTGAACCACCTTCCCAGCCCCTCAGCTGTAGTCTTTACTGATTGATTTGGGCTTCATTTTCCCCCTCTGTTCAGAGTATCCGGTCTAAAGTGGAGCTGTCTGTCTGGGACCAGCCAGAAGACCTTAATCTCTTCTTCACTGCTACCTGCCAAGATGGTGTATCCTACCCAGGCCAGAGGAAATGTGAGGGTCTGAAGATTGGAGACACGGTAAGTACTTGAACCCAATTTATGTAAGTTCTTATTAGCATTGGTCATCACACAGGGTGATACCTGTGATCCTAGCTACTGAGGAAGCTGATATCTGAGGATAGTGATTTGAGGACTGAGTAGACAAGTCAGAGAAACTCCTATCTTCAAAAGGCCAGACTGGAGAAGATCTGACTGAAGTGGTAGAGTGCTGGCAGTAAGCAACCAATCTGAACTAGAGCACAAATTGAATTCCAACTGTGAAACCATAAAAAAATAAAAAAGAACTAGGTACTGGTAACCCATACCTGTAACACTAGCTACTCAGGGGACTGAGATCTGAGGATCTACGGTCAAAGCCAGCCTGGGCAGAGAAATCTTACCTCCAGTTAACCAGCAAAAAGCCAGAAGTAGAGTTGTGGCTTAAGTGGTAGAACAACCACCTTAAGCATATAAAAACAAGAGATAGCCAGGTGCCAGTGGCTCATGCTTATAATCTAGCTACTCAGGAGGCTGAGATCTGAGTATCCTGGTTCAAAGCCAGCCTGGGCAGGAAAGTCCATGAGACTCTTATCTCCAATAAACCACCAGACAACTGGAAGTGGCGCTGTGGCTCAAGTGGTAGAGCACTCACCTGGAGCTAAAGAGTTTAGGGACAGGGCCCAGGCCCCAAGTTCAAGCCCCACAACTGACAAAAAAACCCAAAAACAAGTGAGAATGCAAATCATTGAGTTCAAGCCCTAGTACCAGCACACACACACACACACACACACACACACA